ATGTCCAAGCGCACAGTTTAAACTGGGGCTCACGCCAAGGAAGCATTTTGCAGACCTGTATCACATGCAGTTGTTAAGTTTTGCTATATTTTCTATCCTTTCTACCCAAGAAAAACCCCTGTTTGGGTTTTGCTTCAGCCACTACATCCCATCGATCATTTTAGGTGCAAGGCAAACAGCAGGGGTTTTGGTTTATTTTGGTTTAAATCCTCACTCATATTTCGGTTTAAATCCTCGATGCCACCACTTCAGCACTGCATGGGTTTTAACTGGCAGGTACTGCCAGCCCCAATCCAAAGCATTTCCCAAATTCCCAGAGTTTGGGTGGGGCCTTTACTTGGTGGTTGTTGGTTTTGAGCTAGAGCCATTTATCCCTTCCCTCCTTTAGCATGGAGAAACACACTGCTGGTGGACTAGAGCTGAAAAAACCCACACCAGCTCAGTGGGAAGGGTTTGGATGCCTGCAAAAAGGGTTTGTTTGGTTTTTTCCCTCCCCATAGACTAGAGGTTGCTACTGCAACCTGTTCAGCTGCCTGACCTCGGGACCGCTGAACAAATTCATTCATAATGACAGGGATGCTCTTCAGGTCCAGTTTTGCCAGCCCAGCTCCAACCCAGAGTGCATGAGACATTGCTGGAAGCACCACGATGCAATATGGGAGCATGTCACATTCCCCAGAGCAGCTCTGGGCTGGACACACTAACCACATCCCCTGCTTTTGAACCCACAAAACCAAGAGCTAAAGAGTTCCTTGCCATTCCTGTTGCAAACGCCTCGCCTCCAGAACCCCCATTTTCACATGCCTCATCCTTGGTAGCCCAAAACGTCAGTCTTCCTGTGCAGGCAGCGCTCGCGGGCAGGATCAGCCCTCAAAACACACCCCAAAAAGGCTTTATGCACATCTTTGAATTTGAGAAGTGGTGAAATGTCCCCAGCCCTATGTCCACCCTGGGCTATGAGGGGAGCCAAGCTGCTGGCTCAGGGACGGCATCACCCCATGCCATGCAGGGCAGAACAGAAGGGTCAATCTTCTCTTGCATTCATGAAAAAATAGTTTCCCCACCCATGTCAGGTTGGTTAGGCAGCAGTTCCAGCAGGTCTGAAAAAGTCCCCCTTGCATCTCAGGACATGGCTGGAGATGCTCTTGCAAGCCAAAGCCCTGAGCCGCTTTGCAAACCCAAGCTCAGTCACGGGTTACTGCTCAAACAACGTACTGGAAAATACAGGTCCTAATTTGGTGTTATGGTCCTCATGTATTTTCTGGGATGGTTTTGCCATCCGTGCCTGAATTTACGTAAAGTGCTTCAAACCTGCTATTGGCTTTCTCAAAGGAAAACCAAATGTTTCTACCAGGTCATTTCCTTGCCGAGTCACACGGCCAACACTAAGCACATTTAAATACACCATTTACTGAAACAAGACCACCTAAAATATACTAAAGCCAATTTTCTTGCCTAAATAAGAAAAAGGCTTTTTTGTGCCATTAGATGCCTCTGGTCCCAGTACTACCTGTTCAGCATGATGAAAACATAAGGCCTGGAGACAACCACTGCTAAAAGATGATGCAAGAAAGTTTTTGCCATTTTGGATGGCAGTGACCAGTCACCCGTGGAAGTTCCCAGGGTGACCAAACTCCCCAGAAACAGGTGCAAAAAAGCCTGGAGAAGAGAGTTACAGAGAAATTTCGACTCTGGGAAAGCTTCTCCCCAGCAAACGTCTGGTTTGGGCGCTGGGAAAAATGCAGGTATCATCTTCTGCAGAAGAAGAAATGACCTTCTCTAATGTAACCACGGCTGCTCTCATCAGCCACATGGTTGTCTAATCTTTCTGAACATCGCAGAGCTTCTGGCTTGTGTGATATGTTGCAGCAGTGATTTCAAAACTTAATTAAGCTGTATAAAATACCTTCAGTACATTGGAGATGCAACAGATGGATTAAAAAAAAGGAGATAAACTTGTTCTTGTGCACGGATGTTTACCTTAATGACATGCCCAGTGCATTTCTGAGTACTGATGAGTTATTTAATAATCAAAGGGAAGATCCAAAGACCTCTCACATCTACAGCCACACATGCAGAGCCCTTTCCAGCACCCAGTGGGACCTTTCCAGCAGCAGTTTCGGTCCCAGATCTAGTGCTGACACGCGATGCAGTTTTGCTGCAGGTTATTTTTGTCAATTCAAAGCTGGGGAATTTTAGTCCCCATCCCCAACACCTACTTTCCACCTGTGTGAGTGAGGCCAAGCACAGCAAAACCATCCCCAACATGCCGAGCCTCCTGAGCAATGGCAACGCTCGTGCACGCTGCACCCCACCGTGCTATGGAGGTGGAGGACCATCCACTTCTGGTGGTTGAGACACCGTGTGGCATGTGTTCAGCTCTCCTTCCAAGGAGGGCTGGTTTCTTGAGACAGTGTCCACACCTAGTGTTTTTAGATATCCTTGTAATTTTTAAGCATACAGTGAAAAATATGCACTTTCTCTCCCCATCTACCAGGGGAATGAGAAATTATTCTATATTGGGTTCAGAACAAGCTAGTACAAATTGCACATCCTGCAACATTCCCAAGGAGCCAAATTCTCTTGTTTCCAAAGGAGAGGATCCAAAAACATCAACCAAGCCAGGTCCATCCTGCTGGCCGTGGGTGACGCTGGGTTGCCCCATGCTTTGCACCCCAGGGGCGCTGGGGCTGCCTGTGGACACTGGCAGGCAGCGGGCAGGCACGGCCCAGCTCCTCCCCAAGCTCCACCCTCAGCTTCTAGCACAGTATCCAACATTTTGGTGAGACAAGTGATTTAAATAATTATAATAATAATAAAAACCCTTTAACATGTTTACTGCAGGGAACTATAGGTATTTGTGCAGGTTTAAAAGTTTCAGATCAAATTAAGCTAAGAAAATTCGAAAGCATTCTTATATTAAAATAAAGCATCTCTGCAAGGTGTCAGTGTTTCAGTAGGATATTGATCACAAAAGTTTCACTCTTCTACAAATAGAGCCAGTTTCCAACTGCTTAAGAGTTCATCAAAAGCAGTAATTATTTCTTCTAATTCTATTTTCTCCCTTCTGTTCTAGGTTCCCATACGCATTAGGTAGTTAGGGAACAACATGTTAAGCAGTTTAATAAGTCACAAATAATGGGGAAACTTTTTATAGCTAATTTTTTTTTTTTTTTAAATGCAAGACTATTTCATGAAAGGTGGTTCTGCCTCTGCCAGAGCCCGACGAGCTGGCCGACCCAGTCCTGGCCAACATCCCCGAAGTGGGGCAGGACACCCCCTGCCAGCCCCTTGCCTGCACCCACCTGCCTGGGCCACGGCAGCCAAGGCTCCTGCACAGCAGCACACCGCGGGCATTTCACAAGCAAGGCAAAAATCCTCAAGGAAAACCAAACAAAACCCCAAACAAACAAAAAACCCAACTGCCCTCCCCACAACCAGCCACAGAACTAGTTAAATCACCCAGACCAAGAATTACAGCAGGCCGACTTCAATTTATCAACATTAATTCCTCCACAAACGCAGGCGCTTTTGAGAGAAACCATGTTGTTAATGATATCTTCTCTAAAATTACCTGTTCTTGCACAGGCCGTGTGCCTGGTTCCCAGTGTGTCATGTATGTCAGCATGGTGTGATGATTTTGATGACATGGCCTAAAATTAAAATCTCTTTTGTCTGTGACTTTATCATCAATATTAGAGAAGACATTGAAGGACAACAACACTTATTCCCTTAACCAAGGAATCAAAAAAAATAGCAAGGAGCAATTCCTATGTGTTCACACATGGCCATTACAGCACCTGAATTTCCAAGGTTAGGCAAATCTTTTAAGTCAATACAAGACATCTCGGTTACATGGAGCCCAATGCCTTTCTGGGTTAATTTGGACAGGGTAACAGACCATGATTTACAGGGACACACCAAGAGGCAGCCCAATTTCTGCCTGTCATCTCGAAGAAGGCCGAGCAGCTGCCTGGTTAGCATGCCGGCAGCGCCATAAGCCCAGTGCTGGATGCGGCTCCGCACAGCCCTCGCCGAGGTGAGCCCTTCTGCCTTGGCCAGTGGGCCATAAAAAAAAAAAACAGAATATTTTGATCTTGTTGGTCCTGAAGTACCTATTCGGCTAAAAAAAAAATTTCCCTGCATCTCATTCCAGAAAGCATAAAAAAAGGAGCTTTACATATGGCTGAGACAAACGACATAGGTTAAAATTTCTTTAAGAAATGCCCAGGGGTTTTTCCCACACACGATCAGACGCACAGTCTCACAACGCTCCCTGAAGTATCTTATGCCTGGAGCCCATATTTCCTTCTCATTTCCTTTTTTATTCCAGTAAGCCTCAATCCAACATTCCCCCTCCTCATCCTCAGAGCCTGAATCTTCAAACCAGTGACACTACCTGGCAAAAATTACTTTAAGTTCAAATATCCTTGTTTCCCACTGAAAAGATACCCATCCATATAGGTACGCTGTAAAACCACAGAATCCCATCTATCATCAGCAGGCTTCACAGCCCCCGGTCCGTGCGCACAGATATCAATTAAATTCATCCTCTGTGCATCGTGTCCGGCTGAGAAAGTGGGTTTCCAAGCAAAGGATAAAATAACGCTTAAAGGACCTTAATGCCGACCAACCCATGCCGGCCCAGGCTCCCTCTCCCTGCCCAGGCTGCCACCTCGCCAGCCGGAGGAACCGGCAGCTCTGCTGGTTAACCGGGCATTTGCATACCCCGAACTGCCTACACAGGGCTGGGGATGGAATTGCAAATAATCTGATGGGCTTGATATTATATCACCATCCGCCAGCTTGCCAGCTCGCCGGCAGTGGGCAGGATGCTTCGGTTTGATTTGGATTAGGGGGAGGGGAGGATTTTATTTTTATTATTATTTTATTAAAAAGGAAAAAGGATTCACACACACAGGTTCAATGCATCCTCCTTCCTCCACCATTGCTTTTAAAACTCTAGCGATCCCAAAAGGCATGCTCAGATCATCACCTACCTTCCATCATGGTGGCAGAATTGCATTCCTCAATTTCCAAGGAGCCTGAAAAAATACAGGAGAATACGATCCCAGTTACCAGATGCTTAATGTAAGCCCTTCAATCAAACGCCTCCGATCCCCGGCTCCCTTAGCTGCCAGAATAACAAGGAAGGGGAAAAAAAAAACCAAACAAAACACCAAGGCGCTGAGGCTAACGGCAGGCCATGGATGCTGCTGTGCCTGTATCACCTCCAGGATCGCCGGAGGATGCTGAGAGAAAGGGAGGACGAGCCGGGCTCGGCTCCGGCGCAGCCGGTCCCTCCCGCCCCGCACCTCGTCACATGCGCGCTCGCCCCCCGCCCCCCCACACCCCCCGCCCGC